AAATCAATTTTATGATTTAAAACCAGTGTTCTGTACCTTTCCAGTGTTTGCCATATATGTGTTTATTTACCACAGGAAATATGTCCTTGGTGTGAGTACTTTGACTTCAAGACTTGGCTTCATTTTTCTGTACACATTCAAGGTTATATTGTCAAGTAGTATATAATCCAAAGAACACTGTGTAATGCAAACAAAATGGAATGGTTTTTAGGTTTTTTTTTTTTTTTTTAGTTTATTTACTCATCTATTTGGAACAAGATTTTATTTGATAGCCAGGTTTCAAATCCATGTTCCTCCTGCCTTAGCTGGTCAGGTACTGCTTGTAACATTTTAATAGCTATGTTTTCTGTCATGGGCGAGCAGGGTGTGAGGAGTTGGGTTTTAAATGCTTGTGTGTAAGGTAATAAAAGATGAAAGTGAGAATCACCTGCCTCTCATTCTAGAGCAAGGACAATTCTGAGTGAGAGGTGAGATCTGGTCCCATCAGGAATGCCCATGGGTCTAAATTTTGCAGAGCACTGAGATTACAGAAGGCATCAACTTATATTAAGGGTATTTGCACCTGATCTCACTTTGCAGATAGATTTTGAAAGAACTTTGAAATATCATTTTTATTTGTTTAAAGTACTCTTTAGGAATAAGATTATCTACATTTATATTTTGGATTTGAAGTTTGTTGTATACTAAAATATATGAAAAAAAAAATCCGTTAAAGAATAGCTTATCACAAGTGAAGAAATTAGGGTTAAAACAAAAGCAATAAAAGTAAAGGCTGATTAGAGCTGTAAGCATCCAACTGTGAATTTCAGAGTAAGCTTCCATGTAGTAAGGAACAGTGAGCTGCGTCCCACCACCCGGCTAGCTTTACCCGAAATAATTACACGGAAACTGTATTCTTTTAAACACTGATTGGCCCATTAGCTCTAGCCTCTTACTGGCTAATTCTCACATTTTGATTAACCCATTTCTAATAATCTGTGTAGTACCACGAGGTCTTGGCTTACCAGGAAGGATCTTAACCTGCATCCATCTTGGAGAGGAGAGCTATAGTGTCTGGCTCACTTCCCTTCTTCCCAGCATTCTGTTCTGTCTACTCCACCCACCTAAGGGCTGGCCTATCAAAGGCCAAGCAGTTTATTAATTAAGCAATGAAAGCAACCGATAGACAAATGACCCTCCTCCATCACTTCCAAGTGTGGAATTTTAAATAAGGATGCACTTTTTCTGTTTTCTTTTCAAGGTAGCTGGTCTAAGGGCCATGGTCAAGGGCAATGGAGAGTGAGTAAAAGACAGATGCTCAGGAGTGTTCACACACACAGAGTGAGAGAGCACGGATAAATACCGACTCAAGAATACATAGTCAAATACACACAGTCACACACACACAAAGTTCATAGGGAGAAAGCCAGACATTTAAGTTGGTTGTCATTAAAATGACATTGATGGGAGTGCTTAAAGTAACCATAATGTCTCTAGAGTCTTACTGCCTGATGGTTGGAATGTGGACTAAACGGGAAAGAATAAGATGAATAGCCTTCCACTTGGTATTGCAACCTTTCTATTTGAACTAGAGCAAAGCTAAGGGGCACATAAGCATCCACAACATTAAATCCACTCCAAAATACGTGTAAGTATACATTAAATCCAAGCATCCCCGCCTTCCCCATGTCTGTGGAACCCACACTATTGCATCACCACATTCCACATTCTCACCTGTTGCTACGTACACTGGGCATCACTGTTCAACCAAGCGCCAAGTGCTGTGTTTTCTTCAGACTTCATACAGAGGTGTGGTACCTAGGTTGAATCCTTGAGAGAAGACCCCACCAGCCTTGTTTCGAGAACCTGAAGGCCCTCCCCTTAGACACTACAAATCAAAACAGTCTTCTCTCAGTGTAGCATTCTGTTACTGACATCAGCAACCAAGACAAATGAAACCAACCCCACTTGATCAGAAGTCAGACGAAGCCTCAAGAGCAGTGAATTGCTGTGAGCTGGTTAGGGCAAACCACAGGATATAAGATGTAGTTGAATGAGGGAAGACAATAAAAATTGACCACTATTTAATGTTTATTCAGTGAAATAGATTGATTTATGTAAATGAAAACCTCTAAAATTTGTTTTAAATTTGATTTTTTAAAAACTTTATCATGAAATGTTACCTTTAACCATTTAAATTACAAGATATTTAAGCATATCTTATACAAATAAACATAGTTTACTGATTTGTTCTGTGAAAAACCTTGATTTATTTAGGAATCAAACATGTAAGGCAATTGAGTTTAGTTACCTTGGTAACACCTGGAGTGAACTACTCTGTCTAAAAATATTTCTCACATTACTTATATTTTATATGAAATTATAATTAGATGTTAGTTGCAAAGGATTTTCACAAATGGTAATTATCATCCAACCTAATATATAAATAAGTTTATCTATGTATATGTTTATATAACATGATCTCAGATTAAAGAAAACAACATAGTAGGTTTAATTTTTAACTGTACTAGAAATTTAATTTGGTTTATATTAGTATGGATTTGGCTTAAAATGTGATATATATTTACGTTATTTATTCAATATTAGAAAAATTTCTTACAGGGAATGTTTGATATATTTTTAGAGGATGCAAGTGAACAAAAGTGAGAACGTGTTTATGAGTGCTCTCCTCCAGATTCTGTTTGAATGAAATAACAAAAATTATATAACCCATGTGTATTAGCATAAATGCTTCAATTAGAATAAAAGCACATTTTTCAATTTTTTAATAGATCATTCCCTTTAATTCTGTGTTTAAAAACAAAACACATTTCATGGTTAAAAAGTTGGTTTTTCTTTAACAAGTAATTAGCTATAGAAACCACCATTATGCTATTTGGTACAGTTTTTTTAAACTTTCTTGAGTATATCATCTCTGTCCATAAATATGCTTTTATTAGAAATATAAAGTGTGAAATGTAATATGATTTTTCATTTAAATATGTTTTAACTAATTTACTGTTTATAATTATTGTTCAAGTAATTTTATTTAAATTCATTAGTTTCCTTTAATTTCCCTTCCATCTTGGTCCTCTGGTGTTCATCCTGAATCCTGGTGTTCATCCTGGAACCCATGTGTCCATCCTGGACACCTGGTGTTCATCATCAACCCTGGTGTTCATCCTGGACCCCTGGTGTTCACCCTGAATCCTGGTATTCATCCTGGACCCTGGGTGTTCATCCTGGACCCCTGGTGTTCACCTTGAATCCTGATGTTCATCCTGGACACCTGGTGTTCATTCTGGACCCCTGGTGTTCACCCTGGATCCCTGGCTGTCCTATTTCTGCTTCTCACTGTTCTTATTTCTCTCCCTACCCATCTCAGTCTTCAGAGATGCCAACTTTAACTGATCACCTCTATATTTTCTTTTTATCCTTTTCATACCACTGTCCTCATAAAAGTCTAAGTAATGTCTGTAAAATAGAATTTTATAGTCAGGTGTATATTAGGTAAAAAGAAACCATCTCAGAACTCAAAACAACAACATCGGGAAAAATAGGTTTTCTGTTGTCCTGTCATCTCCCTGTCAAACAGACCTAACGTGCTAACATTGGCTCTGAATGAGGGCCCAGCCCTCCAACAGCATGTCACTTCCTATTCTATTACTCTCTTCCTTCTTTTCCCAGGCTGTGTTTGGTGCTTACCGTGACCTCTTACATGTCCTTTGCTCTAAATAATCTTCTGTCCATGACTTGGCTTGTGCTGAGTCCCCTCCGAGGAAGATTCCCAACATGTTCACCTGGCAGCTGTTTTTTTTTTATTTTAGGAGTTCAATTTCTACCACCACAGTCCCAGAAGACTTGATTTATTGCCCTGATTAGCAGCTGAATGTATTTGTTTTACGATAACTTTTCTGTCCCTTTAATTATTTGTGAATCACCGAAAGCAGATCTCAATAGACCAAGTATTTATTTACATATTGGATACAGAGTCATAGGCCTAAAAAAGGTCTGTGGATAAATAAATAAACAGACTTGTTTTTAGAGGTTCAGTGTGTTTTTCCATTAATGGAATTGATTAAAAACATTAACTTACACCCTACAAACAATGCAGATTTCATAATATCCAGAAGTGTGCAAAATCACAGTGCATTTTATTCCTCTTACTCACTTATATTACTATAGTTAAGATCCATTCATAACCTTTTAAAGAAATAGATTCTCATATCTGTTCACCATTACCCTTCATAGTCTATGATAAATTTGGATAAGAAAAATGCAATGAAAATATTTTAAATAAATTTTATCTATGTATTTTCCTTTTATACATTGAAACAAAAATCAGCTACCCATCTAGCTTTTCCTATCACTACCTCATGAGCCACATTTCCCTAAATATTAAAATGAAATATGATAAGTATATAATATTCTATTTCTCTTATTAACGCACTTTTTAAAACTCTTTGTCATTTCTTAATTTTGCTATTCAGATTAATATTGGTACACATATATTTTTAACTTCACAGAGCTACACACAAAGATTAAACCATCTACACTTAAAAGTCCCTAAAGTATACATTCTGGGACAAAGATTATGAGTGTTTTTAATGTATTTTATGTAATACTCAACACCTAGGAAACATATAGCAATATGTCCATACTTGGATAGGATCTGCCATTTATTAGTGAATTGCCTTCAAGTCTGAATATTCTTAATGCAGGAGTCAAATACTTTTGCAAAATAATTGGTCATTATCTCATTCTTTTTGTTAAATTGACTTTTCTTTCAGATTACTTTTGATATTGAACTGTCTTCTCTTTTATTTGACATCATGTTTGTGTTTTAGTGTGTTCATTGGATTAAAAAATAATTGCTGCTTCAAAACAAGGTTACTACTTAGTTAAATTACATTTCTGAATAAAATCAGAGGCATATTGCTACACATTTATCAGAACTTAGTCAACGCTAGTTGGAGATGATCGAGCATATTCCTTAAACCATGCATCTCTCTTCTCAACAGATGACTCTGCTGCAGAAAGCTTTAATGGCAATGAGACTCTGGGGCACAGCTCAGTGGCTTCAGGAGGGGCTCATGGCAGGGAGACTGGGGACTCCAGCAGTGATGGAAAAACTGGGCTGGAACAAGAAGACCAGCCACTGAACTTGAGTGACAGTCCCCTCTCTGCACAGCTGACTTCAGAATACAGGATAGATGACCAAGGCAGTAATGGGAAAAACAAGTACAAGAACCTTCTAATCTCCGACCTCAAGATGGAACGGGAAGCAAGAGAAAACGGAAGCAAGGTAAGATTCCATTACGATTGCGGGATGGTTTTTACATGGTCATGAATATCAAGAGGAAGCACACGTAAATTACTGATAAACTCTTAATCATGCATCATGTGTTTTCACAAAACATTATGCTGGGGCAATAGAGTCAAGCGGAACATGTCGTGATGCTGTGGGTGTTATTTGATAAATTATTTGACTTAATGTATTTCATTTCTGTGATTTACTTGTGGATCAGTCCCTGGGAACTTGCCATGTACAAGTGTGAAATGTTTAGTCTCAGTCACAATTGTGAACAACAAAGGCATCACTTTCTCATTTCTCTAGATTGGATAGACAAATAGGCAGAAAGTTTCAATTCAATTCTCCAGTTTGCTTTGGAGACCTGGGGCCTCGTCACTAATTTGCTTTAGGGATGCCGAGAACTGTAAAATGTCAGTGGCCAAGTTGGAATTTGTAGATTAAATATGTACAGAAAGCTGTAATGGATCCAAAACCTCCATTCAGACATATTATCTAAATTCTAGATAGTTTACATTAAACTAAATTGCAACATCTCTATGCTTAGTTTATTTCTTAAAACATTTTAATCTTTGAAAGCATCCACACGAGAAGTTCTGCTGTGCTCATTTTAAAGAACCAGTTTTTTCTATAGATGACAGTCATCTTGTTAGCATCTTAATCCAGCTCATAAAGTTGTACTGCAGAGGGGATAGCGAGCTGTCAACAGAGGCTGTCAAAAAACTGTCATTTCCAAAGGTGCGGAACTTTAGACAGAACTGAGAATTGTATTACATTCTTCATTTTGATGTCCTAGATTCATGCAGGCCTTCAACATCTAGTTGTAGACCTAGCATTTAGCAGAGATCCTATAAAAAAAGTGTCTCAACCTGTATTAATTCTGTCATTTGCAAAAGCTCTATGCTTTTGAAATTGGCTCTATTTAAGTCTCCTCCTTGCCTGAGGGTGTGTTGTGTTATCCTCTTTCAGTGAGTCACTTGACATTTTAAGACACTTAAGCTCTTCTAAGGGAGACTACTACCATTTGCTCTGGTAAATGCATCAATACATTCTGTGGTGGTTCAAAGATAGATCGTACATTGCAAGTGTTTTTCTACTTACTGACATTTGAAGCATTGCAAACATAGAATAGAAAGGTACATTTTTCTTCATTCTATAGTATCTTCTCTTTAAAAAGCCTAGGTAACCATAAAACATTTATATGAATACAAATAGAGAAGTTTACTTGTCATCGTGATAATACTGAATTTTAAGATTTTGGGGCTCTTAACTCATTCAATTCATAAACTCATTCAAATTTAGGACCTTACTTTAATCTTAGTAACTATTTTAGGACCACAACCATCTTCATAAAGTTAAAGTTTTCCTAATTTAACATTAATCTTAAATGTAGCTTTACTTCTGTAGTAAAGAAATCACAGAAAGGATAAACAGTGACAGAGCTTTCACTGCTTTTTCCAACATAATCAGAAATAAATTTGTTAAATTTTAATGCATGTCACTTAATGCATCTCTGGAGTTTTGATCTTTGAGATTTGTGTGTCCTTCATGTTCTAAACGTGCCAGGACTTGTATTCTTGGCTTAGAGATTTCAGGGAATTTAGAATGGCTAAAGTCCCTTAATCAAGGCTTTAGGGCATTTTAAGACTTTGGGTTATATTCACTACAGTTAAGTATGATAAAGTTGCCTCTAACTTGGTTGTTATGAAGTTTATTATTTTGGCAACATTGTAGTGGTAAGTTCTAGGTAGTAAGTTGGGAACTGAAGGAAGGGGGGGCAGAAGCCTGGTTACAGAGCTATTGCAGCAAGTTATAAGAAAAATAATGGACATAGGAATCAAAAAGCAATGGAAATGTAAAACATAGTAAAAAAAATGTGAGCTTGTTAGTTTTTTTCTTCTGTTTTTAGTGTGTGGGCTGTGTGTGTGTGGTGTGCATGTATATGTGTTGTTCATGTGTGTATAAATGCTGAACATGTGTGTATGTGGAATTCATGTAAGTATATATACCATTTGCAAGTGCTAGATTTTGTCTGTATTTTTTTTTTTTCTGGAGTAGAGTCCACATGTGGAATATTGTAGGGTTTCTGGTCTCTGGTCAGCATTATTTTACCCTAAAACTATCAAAAGAATTTTGGTTCACACTTTGTTCCATCAGCATTATCTTATAGATTTTCATGGAACTTTCTATCATTTCAGTGAAACCTTAGGTAATTACACAACCACCAATTTCTCTGTTTGTTGAAATCTAAAAGTTTAATAATGTAGAATCACTGAGAAGCTTAGATTAATGAGTTTAACACTGGCCTATTTCACAGTTTTATTGAGAGTAATAACAAACAGAAAATGATTTAAAAGCATTTAAAGGCTAGAAGAGTGCATAGAGATGCTTGGAAAGCAGCCCTGAATTGGAGGATACTTTTTAACTGATTGCTTATTATTATGCAAATTCACTCAGTAGACCAGAGAGAAATCACATTAACCAATCTAAAGACAAGATATATTGCACCCAATGAATTCAGGTGGTATTTGTTTTCTTTGCTCACAGCCACAGTTTAAGGGGCGAGTTAATAACATTAAAATTCAGGACTGAGAAGAAATGACAATTATTGTGGAAAATCAGACCCATGAAGAAATCTGAGGGAATCAACTCTATAGAGAAGAAAGGGTCATAAATCACAAGCCTAGTGTTTATACCAGGCTAGAAGTTATTAGTTGTTGGAACTGAAAACAAATCCAGAATTCAAATGGAGGGAAATATAGAACTCTAGAAATGCCGAAGGGTAGGTATTTAATTGTTATTTTTCTAATTTTGGCCATTCTGACAGGTGTAAGATGATATCTCAAAGTTGTTTTGATTTGCATTTCCCTGATTGCTAATGAGGTTGAGCATGACCTTAGGTGTCTTTTGGCCATTTGAACTTCTTCTTTTGAGAATTCTCTGTTCCGTTCAGTGCCCCATTTTTTAATTGGGTTAATTAGCATTTTAAAGTCTAGTTTCTTGAGTTCTCTATATATTTTGGAGATCAGACCTTTGTCTGTTGCGGGGTTGGTGAAGATCTTCTCCCAGTCAGTAGGTTGCCTTTTTGTCTTAGTGACAGTGTCCTTTGCTTTACAGAAGCTTCTCAGCTTTAGTAGGTCCC